TGCATTAGCCCTAATGCACTGAGGTAGTCAGTTTCGGTCTGTTGCATATTTGACAAAAATGACCGATTTTATCAAATCATTTCCCATTTGTTACATTAACATTTCCCTCTTCTCTCCACTGCCAATCATTCTACTATTATTATCTCTATGAAATCTCCAAGCACTGATATGGAAAACTTAATTAAAATCGAAAGCCAATTCATTTATCAAACTTACTGAAGTCATTAGCTTACATTTGCGCATAGTAAATATCGTATAATCAGTGCTTCAGTCTGAAGGACTGAGGCTTATCATCTGAGGTGATCTCAATATATAAATTAACATAAAGATTAATTTAGTCATTTGTACAAATTCATTGATTAGAAGCTATTAAATAATCTTATGACTCTATTAAGCAGCAATGCGGCAGGTTGGTAGTGTTCCTTGGACTGTGACAAGCTTGAACTGTTATCCACCAATTCTCACAATTGGATTTAGAAAATTAAATGCATTTCTTAGCTGCACTAATTCTTATCTACGATTACCTGTCAATTTACATATAAAAAATACAAATTCTTAAGTCTTTTTAAAGGTATTTGATACCAGTATTAAGTAGCTGCATTTAATGATCTATGGGTGCGAAGAAAGCAGTGGTGTAGTATACTAGAGTATATGTTTGGGGGAAAAAGTGTAAAACACTTTTCTGTAGTGCAAAACTAAAGAAACTAAATAACTGAAGAAAATATTAATATTGTTTAATAGATAATTTTTGAATTGAATGTTCATTTAACAAAATTGTCTCTATATTGTCTATTAGTCTTTCTAGATTCAAACTTTACACGCTCATGTTGGAACTTTGATTCATAAGACGAAAGTAGAGTAGTAGTAGTAAATCTATCTAAAGGATATTTATGCTTTTCCAAAGCCAAAGATTGTTAGTTGATTCTAATGGTGACTCAATCCGTGAATCTAAATCTTTGTTTCCTGCTGTTTAATTTGTTGTTTGATCTGTAAAATTCAGTCCGTGTTGTTCAGAAATTTTTACAAGTCGGTATTATTGACTTTTGTTAGCTTCCTGAGATTATTGAAGATTGGGTCGCTAGAGTATTTTTTTTCTACTCCCAAGAGCGGGACATGTATAGAGATCATATGAAACTATCTTAAATTCATTACTTCCAATATAATTTGATGGATTCAAAGTTAAGTGTGATACTTGCTGTTTAAAGACCAGTATATTCGGTGATACTTGAAACAGTAGTACAATCAGCCAACAAAAAAAAAAAAAATAATTAAATAAAATTATTGTTATTTTTTCCCTGTTATTTACTTAATTCTATTAAAAAATAATGACTTCAAAAGTTTCCGTTTTTTCTGGCTGGTTGCAGCTGTGATGGCAAATGTTGTAAGGGATTTCCATTCAAGCCACCTGCTCTCCAATGTTCCAGATGCCAATAATAAGTGCCTTCACACTACAAATATTCCTTCTATTCCTGCTTATTAGTAATAATGACTGTTTAAGATTATATCTAGGTCATAATGCCCTACTCGTCTTATATGTAGGTTTAATGTAGATTTTAATCACTTTAAAGCTCTTAACGCTATAACTAAGGGTGTGAAGATCGGTTCCATACCAGATCTTTTTTCTTACTTAGTTCTAGTTTATGAGGTATTTCATTTTAAAGTCTAAGTTAATCTTTTGTGTAACATTTTTATATAAGAAAATTGATACATCTTATTGTCATTTTCGAAGTCAACCAATACCCGAAACCTGATTTAGAATTTTTAATAGCCCATGGAAAAAAATTCTGATACAATTATATATAAAGTTAGAAAAAGAAGCAATAGTGAAAATAACTCAAATTCTTCATTTGTAACTCCATAATTCCATAGAAGTTATGCGCTATCTTTCTTAAGTTTTAACTTCAACGACGACTCTGTTTTTCTTTTTGCTTCACACAAATTCGTAACAAATAATAAAAAGAATAACAAAGCATGTAAAGAAATACCACAAACTCCATAAACTTTATTAACCTGGTTAATCCCTTAATTGTCGTTGCTTAAGTCATAATAAAAGTAGTCTTGATGTTATCGAAAAGTAAACCCAATAAAAAAGATAACAGAGGTAAACAACATACCAGAATCTCTCGCGACGACAATCACAAAGGCAACTTCTATTAAACTCGGACTCAAATTTTTCCATTTACAATATTTTTACGTATTTTATTAATTGGGTTCAGTACGCGGCTCTTATGGCAGTAAAATTATTTTTGCCTTTCGATTGGCTCCACTTTGAAGCATAGCCGCTTTCTATTCTTCACAACTTGGGATAGGTTCAAATGGTTGGTTAATTCTTTCTTTTATAGCCTACACGCCTTCTAAATTGAAGGAGAAGGAGAGGGGGGAAAAGAATAATTGCGGTAGAAGGAAATCATTCCATCAGCAAAGAACAATTTTTAAAAGCCTTTAAATGACAAATTTAAAGGCGTTGAATTAATTTGTGTCAGTTTAACTGAAATTGTTGTTACTGTAAATCCGATTGCTCTTCTACTTGACCGCAGACTACAGAATCGAAGACGAGAGAGAAGAATAAGAAGAAGACAATAAAGTTGAAGAACAAGAAAACCGCAGAGATATTCCAATTCGCCACTGATAAATTGTCTTTAATATTTTTTTGAAAGATTACGGATACTTGACTCAGATCTTCTGACTTTCATTAAAAAAATATTAAACTTCAACTTGGTTAATCGTTATAAGCGAGTCAGTTGAATATTAATGTTTAACATTTACAAGATATGATCACAAAAATACTCCTATAACAGCGCGGACAGGTTCATATTCCGTGGCAAACTCCAACTTAGCAGATTAAATTTTTCAACCTGTTTAGTCGGAAATCTGGAAATCTGCAATGCTTTGAAAGAAGAAAATTAATTTGTTATCACACACAGCCACCGTTGCTTTATTGGTTATTGCTACCAAATGTTGTTAACCACCAACCTTTAGTGTTCCTGCATCTTGTTTGGATTAAGGATCACGTTACGTCTTCACATTAACGCATTGAAGGTGTTAATTGAAAATATACAACGTATTTAAGATATTTTTTGATAAATTTTGGAAGTTGGCTGAAAATTTAATTAACTCAGTTTAACAGCAAAAAGGAAAATAAATTTCGGATGCAAAAAGAGAAAAGATTAAATATCTTTACACTTATAGTCTCTGCAGGAAGATTAAATATCTTTTCACTTATAGTCTCTGTAGGATATAAGTGCTTATGTTGAAATACTACGGATTTTTTGAATTTACGTGATTACAGTTCTTGTGATTTAGTCAACCGCTTTGATAATATTCAACGACTACTAGCTTAATCAGTCACTTATTGTCGTTAAGTGATAGTAGCAAATAGTGCCAGATCGGATGCTGCTTGAACCTACTGTTGAAGATTCAGTTATTATCTGGCGTGTTTTCCACTAGCGGGAACAACATTTGCCAAAGTACTCTGAGAGCTAGCATATACTTTATTTAAATGTCTTTTATTTCTTTTTTTCTAGTATTACCAAATTTTATAGTTCTTAGTTGACGCCTTTGAAATTTCTTCTCTTTTTCTTCATTTTTAAATGCTATTAGTTGGCACTTGGACTGTTGTTTATAATAAAATATCTTCAGTAATTTTCTTGTACTAAAATTGATGTTAAATAAATTTAAACAATTTTTGTTAACTATGAAAATAATAAAATCTTTAAAAACAAACCACAATTTATTTATACTCCAATGGACAGAATTACTGAGAGACAAATACATCTTCATCACTAAGACCGTGTACATCCTCCGTAACTGATTCAATGGTTACATAATAAATATACGTATATATTAAAGAATAACAAAAATATAGGATTTAAATACCAATTAGGATGCGCTTAAGCCAAATAAGATGTTTTGGAATGGAGAGTGCAATGACAGGCAAGACAACAAAAGATTATGCCAGTTACCTGCTGTAAGCAAATAACAAACTGAAAAAAATACATTAATGTAAAGGATAAATGGTAAACAATCAGAGAGGAAAAAAAATATGTTACGCTAAAGTCGGTCATGATGGACGCAGTAGTGCTACTTCTCGGGTATGCAGTATATAGAGTCAATCTAACATAATTGACAATTCTTAAAGGATGACAGTTCTATATGATTCCAGCTCAAAATTTACAAAAGACTCTGTTTAGAGTAGTAATAATTATTTTTAACATTGTTTTACACTGCAACACTGTTTGTTTGAAAGGTGATTTGCATTTCATTTTTGCTTTATTAAATCTTTGTTCTTGCTTTTTTGCCTTTTATGCTTTGTATCAAAATTTGCAACTCTCTCTTACCGGTTGATCGTTGGCGAAGACGCACGCATTTGTTTCTTTGGTTCACTCGTTTATAAATTTTCAAATTATGTAAAATAAATAAGAATGTACATTTATATAAAATATTATCATTTCGAAACAATATATAAATAAATAATTACAAAGTGATAAAAAATGTTATCATATCAAAACATTGGTGACCCCGACGTGATCGGATTGAAAAAATATACTCGGATTTAATTTCGTACAAAACATTTATAATGCACATGCATTTTAATTTTGGAAACATTTTTCGATGAAGTTTGTCAACTCGGACAAGTTTAACATACATTTTGATTGCTATTGTGCATTCTTTCTATTTTTACTTTCGCTGCATTTATGTGCAAACTTTATTTTATGCTATCGTGTCATAAAATATATTCAATTAATTTCAGTTTAAAGTTCGGCAGATCGGACATATATAAACAATTTGTGCTATCGTGCATTTCTTTATTTTGGATCGGTATATGAACAAATATTATTTTATGCTATCGTGTCATAAAATAAATTTTAGTAAGTGTCGTGTTTAAGATTTATATTTGTCAATTCGGGCAAATACAAAACGCAATTTTCGGTGCAATCGTGCAACTAATTCATAATACGAACACGCTACATTTGAAATTTACACGAGTTAAATTATTGATCATGATAGACGAAGTTGAAGTAAATGGGGCAACAGAGCACTCAAGTGAGCCTTCACAAATTCTCTTAAAATCAAGATCCACTTCAATAAAGTTTCAATTAACAACATTCAATGAGACTCTGACTCCTGAATATTTAAGCAGTTTGTGTGATTCCGATATTTCTGTTCGGCTGGAGCATGTGGAGCGTCTGGCCAATAAATTTGAAAATACTCAATCTACTCTTGAGGAATTGGACATATCCGAATTTGATGGAATGGTCCGGTTTGATTTCGATATGTTGTACTTGAAAGTTCGATCAAAACTTCAACATGAGCTTCAAGTCAGACGTACATTCAATCCAAGTTGCTCTACAACAATACATAAATCGTCAGGTGAGAATCAGCAAGACATCAGGTCAATGGCGAATACAATTAGGCTTCCAGAATTACAAATACCAAAGTTTGATGGAAATTATACTGAGTGGCCTAGTTTTCATGCCATATTTGAAAACTTAGTTCACAATAACCAAGAACTATCTGAAACAGAAAAACTACAACATTTATTTTCAAGCGTAAAGGGCGCAGCATTTGACATCATTAGATCGTTGAGTTTAAGTGATGCAAACTATGCTAAGGCTTTAGAATTACTTAAAAAGAGATTTGATAATAAACCTTTAATTTTACAGGCACACGTCAAGGAAATTTTGTGGGCAAGGGATATATCGAATGAATCATCGACAAAGTTAAGAGAGCTTAGTGATCGAATCAATTTGCACATGCGTGCTTTACAAACATTGGGCACCAAAGAACAAATCGCAGACAATTTCTTGATCCAAATCATCAGTGCCAAGCTCGATTCTAAATCAAAGGCTAAATGGGAAGAAGAGTTGTCCGTCCATGATTTGCCAACGTGGGAAATGATGACTGACTTCTTAGAAAAAAGGTGTCGTGTATTGGAGAATATGGACGGTGCTATGGTCTCCCTAACACCTAGCCACCAGGTAGGAAAGAAAATTACTAAAAAATATAGTTATTTGGCAGCAAATATGGGTACTATCTCTTGCGTATTTTGCGACTCAAAGGATCACTATATTACAAAGTGCACACTGTTTATAAATCTTTCCCCAACGCTTCGATATAAAGAAGCAAAGAAGTTGCTGTTATGTTTAAATTGTTTACGCAAGGGTCACGCATTGAATAAATGCAAGTCTGGACATTGTCGTCATTGTGCTTCAAAGCATCATTCATTGCTTCATATGCAATCTGTATCTCCAATTAATTCGAAAGGCGTTGCACCTGAAATACATATAGCAAATCGGTCGGAAGAGCCATCAACTTCAAAAAATACGTCGCTGCTCTCACTGTCCTCTGTAACGTCTATTCCTAAAGCCCCAGAATTTCTATCTGAAAATAGTGTGCTACTAGCTACTGCAATCATTCTCATCAAAAATTCCTCAGGAACTTTCGTTCCATGTAGAGCAATTCTCGATTCTGCGTCTCAACTCAATTTTATAACTTCTCGTTTAGTCAACTTGCTGCAGCTAAATACGAAAACAACATACACAACCATATCAGGCATAGGGGATTCTACACTTGAAACAAACAAGGTTGTTGAGCTATTTACAAAATCGCACTCAGGCGATTATTCAACTTCATGTACTGCGATCGTTACAACAACTATCACAGATCCTCAACCAAACTTTAACGTAAACATTTCAGATTGGTCAATTCCAAACAACATCACCTTAGCTGATCCGATGTTTTTCAAATCACAGAGAATCGATGTGTTACTAGGTGGCGGCTTATTTTTTAACTTATTGTGTATTGGACAAATTCGTCTGGAAAATAATTTTATGTTACAGAAGACAAGGCTGGGTTGGATAGCATCAGGTGGCGGTATTATTCCAAAATACAATCACTCATTTTCGTTAGCTATAGCTAAGAAATCAACCACTGAATTGGAATTTGAAAATGAAAAATCGTTAAATGAAATTGTAAAAAGGTTTTGGGAAATAGAAAATTGTTTTGACGCGCACTCTTCGCTAACAGACGAAGACGCATATTGCGAAACCCATTTCAAACAAAATTTTACTCGGTTAGATTCTGGTAAATATTCTGTTTTACTTCCTAAGCAGCGTAATATCGACTCACTCGGAGATTCTTATAATCATGCACTTCAACGATTTCACAGTTTAGAAAGAAAGTTGCAACGTAATGCTGATTTAAAAACTCAATATGTTGATTTTATTAATGAGTATATAAATTTAAAGCACATGTCACCAGCACAATTACCATCAGGTGTTCCAACGTGTTTTTTACCTCATCATTGTGTGCTAAAAAATGAAAGTACAACTACAAAATTGCGTGTGGTTTTCGATGGGTCAGCTAAAACATCCACCGGATTTTCTCTTAATGATCTGCTGATGTCTGGACCTACAATTCAATCCACACTCTTTGAATTAATTATTCGATTCCGATATTTTAAAATTGCTCTTTGTGGAGATATCTGTAAAATGTATCGATGCGTGCGTGTTACACATCCCGATGAATATCTTCAGTGCATTTTGTGGAGAAGTAATCTCGATGATGACGTAAAGGTATTCAAATTGGACACTGTGACATATGGAACAAGGCCAGCTGCATTTTTAGCTATTCGAGCAATGCATCAGCTGGCTCGCGATGAAGAGAAATCATACCCATTGGGTTCTAAAATCGTTCTCAGAGATTTTTATGTAGATGATTTAATGTCAGGCGGCGACACCGTGGATGAAGTAATCAACATTAGAAGGCAAACTACTGAATTATTAAAAAAGGGTGGTTTCCAGATCAGAAAATGGTGTTCCAATAATCCAAGAGTATTGTGTGGTATCGCTGAATCCGAACGTGTACAATTATTGAAATTTAAAGATGGTTCTGATATTACTAAAGCATTAGGTTTAGTATGGGATCCAAACCACGACAATTTTTTATTTTCATTTACTCCAGTGGTAGGTAGCCAGCAAATTAACAAACGTACTGTTCTCTCAACTATAGCCCGTTTTTATGATCCAATCGGATTAATTGGACCTATCATCACCAAGGCTAAAATTTTCATGCAAACCTTATGGAAACACAAATTGCATTGGGATGAGAGTCTACCACAAGCATTATACTCAGCATGGATTGAACTTCGCTCTCAACTTACAATTATCAGCAGTTTTAAATTCCCTCGTTATGTTTTAATGC